GTGATGGCTAATAAGGAAGAAGAGAGTAGTAGTAGTGAGAAGATTGTGGAGAAACAGAGGCCTCAAAGAGCAAACAGGAAGCAAATGAGATATGTCTCGAGTGATTCCGAGTCTGACTCTGCTAACGATTCTGAGTTTGACGACACTGAAGATGACCAAGACGATGATGAGTAGAGAGAGAACAAGAAGACTAGTCTGATACTTTCTTTCTTCTTATTACAGTCAGTAATGTTGTTTATAGACTTGGCGTTATTACTCTCTCTCTCTCTGGCACTCAATATTTACAAATCTCCTTTTGTAAAGCCCATTAAACGACTTGCCAAGTTTAAAACCCAAAAACCAATCTTTTAAAAGCAAGTAAACTAGGCCCATCTTTTAACAGATCGGAAGTACCTCCGACATGCTTTGCCCTCTATCCATTATTTTTTTTTCTTTTCCAACCACACATTTGATTTTGTTAAAAAGTTTTTAATTTATTACTTATTTCGGAAGAGTGAATTTCATAGAAATGATTAAAACAAAAAACGAATATGATCCTTGTTAAATAGACTAAACCGTTTTGTTCAAAAATTTAAATTACAAAATATTAAAGAAAGCTAAAAATTGTAAAATCTATCTCGGACAAAATCTAACTCTTCTAAGAATTAGAGAAAGCAAGCCATTTGCTACAAGATTGTTAGTCGCGATATCTTCATCAATTCCACACCCTCATATTGTATAAGGATTTATGTACCCATTTGTATTTTTCGTTTACGTTTAGAAAAGTAAAATATTTAAAATTTAGTAAATATGATTTGGTTTGTTGACAACAAATGTGTTTAGCTTTATTCTTTGTATAAAATCGAATTTTTTTGAATGTAAAAAATGTGGATATTACATATAATTTGCCTATCGTATCAGATTCGAATTCAATTCATGTTATGTTAAAAGCAAGACTAGTCTGGAATTCAAACGTATATGTAAATTACACATTTAATAGTCGTAAAATGATGAAACTGGAGGTTGTCAATTTGTAGTTAAAAAAAAAAAAAAAGGAATATTGTTTCTTGGAGGTGTCCAAAATTTTATTTGTTGTCCCTTAAATAACGTCACAAAAATCATACTGGTTATCGAATAGTGACTTAGACAAAAAAAAAAGCTAGAGTTTTATTTTTCAAGCGACAATCGTTTCGATTATTTCAAAATTTTGTGTTACACTATAAACAAATAATGCAACACCGAATCCATCCGACAAAACGAAATGTCTGATTCATATTTCATTATAAAAGCTATGAGCAAACAGAAACTCGCATCACGACAACATTTTGTCAAATTTACTAATGCAATTATAGTTATTAGGTTTGCTTAATCTAGTAGTCATTGGCACACGAAATATTGTTATATTGTATATATATGTTAAACATAAATCTATTTGGATCGAGGACTAACGTCTTAGATTAATCTTTTCTCCTCGAAACATTCCCAACTTTTCCTAAATAATTATTGGCATATGACATATTATTATTGTTTCATGAATTTATTTCTTTGCTACCAGAATTTTGGACCTAGACATGTAGATTCATAGTCTACTTAGAACGAAAACCAACGCGTTGACTTAGCATTTTCTCCGTTGATGGTCCTCGAATTCGAAATGCTTATGACTTTTTATTTTACAGGTTAGTCAAATGGTACATCGGGCTGAACTATACCGATGTCGGATTGATAAAATATTGATCCAAAGAAGAATGTTTGATACGATATCGATCGTTCATTAACATATTTATGAGAGAGAATTTTAAGAAGCAAAAGGAAAGATAATGAAAATAAAACTAGTGCATCTGAACGAGTTAATTTTCATTACCAAACTACTTTGCTTTTCCTTAACATTTTACTTTATTAATTCGAACTAAATTCATAATCATTAAATATAATCATCTGATGACATACAATTACAGAAACGTTTTATAAAAAAAAAATCAAAATGATTAAAAACGAAGTTAAACTGAACAACAAACGTATACCTAATTGTTTAGTTTTTTTAGACCTACAAAGGTGAATTATATGTGTGGAGATGCATATGATTATGACTACCGGAAATCTTGCATCCGAGTGTGTGATTTTTAAGAACAACATGTTTGAAATATTTGCCCTAAGAATTTGGAAAAAGTGAAACATATTTATGTTACAGAATGGACAAATAAAGAAGTGACATGTGGACGAACACTACAAGAAAACCCGATTTTAGCGTCGAAATATAGCGTCGAAAATATTTCGACACTAAAATAGCATCGCATTAGCGTCGTAATTGTGTCGCCTGCAACTTTCGACGCTATTTCGATGCTATATAGGGACGAATAAAATCGACGCTAAATCGATGCTATATAGCATCGATTTAGCTTGAAAATGCCGTCTAGAGGCTCCTTTCGACGCTAAATAGCGTCGATTTAGCGTCGAACATATACCATCGTATTAGCATCGAATATTGCATCGAATTTGGTAGGTAGGTGCCATATTAAAAACGTTTTCACCTACCTATGTAGCGACGGTTTTGTTAATCGCAAAAACGAGGCTAAGTCGATACCTCGAATGAAAAAAAAAATGAACTCCTTACGAGCGTTCTTTCTATCTACTATTATTTGCCGTTTGGTGTGTTCATCCCCGCCCTCCCTGAACGGAGCTGTTGCTCTAAAGCATAACTAATATCTTAGCTGTTTGGAACGTATAGTGGTAATTTGACACAACTTTATTTGATGCTAATTCGATGCTAAATTTGCGACGTAAAATCGACGCTAAATCGCTGCTATAATCTCCTATATATACCTTCCCTTCCTCAGACCAAGAAACCATCGACAAATTTAAAAAAAAATTAAAAAAAAAAAAAATTTAAATTTTAGAA